AGGGATGGACACTGGGAAGAGGTAACTATGGGGAGGAAGTGGGAGGGGAGCTGTTGCATTGTGGTAAACTGTGGTCAATGTCATGAGACAAAGTATATGTAAACTGCTATATAGAAAGTGAATTTGCTCTGTAAATCTGCACCCAAATCACGATAATAAAAAAAAAAAAATAAAGTAGATAACTGAGACCTTCTAAAAATTAAATTCTTATGTGCATCAAGACTTCTCCAAATGAGTAAAAAGAACCTACAGATTGGGAAAAAAAAATATTCAGCAATGACATTATCTGACAAAGGACTTATCTTTAAAATTTATAGAAAACCTTAACATCTCAACATTAAAAAGACAAGCAATTCAATTAAAAAAAATGGGCAGAAGACATGAACAGAGACTTCACTGAAGAAAATATTAAGGCAGCCAACTAATACATGAAGAAATGTTCATCATCATTAGCCACTGTTGTCACGTGATGGAGTCGGACCGATTCATAATGACCCCTCCTTGGGTTTCCAAGGCTCCAATCTACTTTGTATCACAAGTAGATTGCTCAACCTTCCTTCCAAGGAGTGGCTGGTTAGCACCCTGGTTAGCAGTCAAGTGCCTTAGGCACTACGCTATCAGAGATCCTCATTAGCCATTAGAGAGATGCAAATCAAAACATCAATGAGATACCATCTCATGCCAGCATTAACAATAAAGTTCAACAAAACAGAAAACAAATGCTGGTGAAGGTGTAGAGATTGGGACTCTCATACACTGCTGGTGGGACTGTAAAATGATACAACCATTGTGGAAATTGTTATAATGAGTCTTTCAAAAGTTGGAAACACAAATACCATTGATCCAGAAACCCCATTGTTGTTGTTGTTGTTATGAGCCATGGAGTCATAGCAACCCCTCCTTGAGTTTCAGAGGTGCTATCACTATGGAAGTAGATTGCCCAACCTTCCTTTGGAGGAGTGGCTGGTGAGTTTGAACTGCCAGCTTTCTGGTTAGCAGTCAAGTGCCTTAGGCAGTATGTTACCAGAGCTCCCAGCAACCCCATTGTTGTTGTTGTTGTTATGTGCCTCGAGTCAGACCTGACTCATAGTGACCACTCCTTGGGTTTCCAAGGCAGTATCACTAGGGAAGTAGATTGGCCAACCTTCCTTCCAAGGAGTTACTGGTAGGTTTGAACCACTAGCCTTCTGATTAGCAGTCAAGTGCCTTAGGTACTATGCTACCAGAGCTCCCATTAGTAGGTACACATTCTAAAGAAGTGAGAACCAGGACACAAATAGATACATGCATACCCATGTTCACTGCAGCACTATTCACAACAGCAAAGAGATGGAAACAACCTATGTGCACATCAATGGAGGAATGGATAACCAAACTTTGGTACATACATATAATGAAATACTATGCAACCCTAAAGAATAATGTAGAATCTATAAAACTCTGCATAACATGGATGAACTTGGAGGGCATTATGCTGAGTGAAATATGTCCATCACAGAAGAACAAATATTTGCTTAAGTCCACTACTGTAAAAAGTCAAGGAAAGGGTTTCACATGGAAGGGAGCTCGCTTTCTTGGTTACCAGGAATGTGATGGGGGCAGGGGAATTCCTAGATAGATTGGGGGGGAGGATAAAATGGTTAGTGGTTACCAGTGGTAGAAGGGAGGGGGAAAGGGGAAACTTTTGTTTGTGGGGCATTGAGTTTATGCTAATGGTGGTGGAATATTTTGGAAAAAGACAGCAATAATGGTGGGACAACATGAAAAATGTCATCAATATCCCTGAGCTATAAACGTGGCAGTTGTTATATATGTCTTCTTATACATGTTTTCACCACAATAAAAGTAAAAAAATAAACAGGGGAAAAGAGTAATGGAGTTTCTAAATCACCAAAGTCTCTTTGTTTTTTTTTAGGAGCTCTGGTAGCACTGTGGTTAAAGGATTCAGCTGCTAACCAAAAGTTTGGCAGTTCAAACCCATGAGCTACTCCATGGGAGGAAGCACCATTAAGATTTACAGCCTTGGAAACCCTACAGGGAAGTTCTCCCCTATCCTATTGGGTCTCTATGAGTCATAGTTAACTCAGTGGCAATAATTTTTTTTTCAATTTTTTTTGTTCTGCCTGTTCTGATGAAAGCAGAATTTAACGCATCTTTACATATTACCAATCACATTAAAAAAAAAAAAAAAGATCCTTTGAAGATGCTTTTTATTTATATTTTACCTCTGATGAAACAAAGTAAATTAAATTCTCATCTCATCCTAAATTTGTCTTCATGTTTTTTTTCAAAGGTAGCATTAGTCTTTTAGTTTGATACAAGAGCAATACAACCACCAGATGGTAACCACATACCAGAGACTACAAAAATCATCACTATCTTTAGAAAATTTAAATTGCACAGCCTAAAAAAATCGTAAGCAAGAATGTGGTTTTGTTCTCTGAGGAATAAAGCGATAATTTAAAAAAGAAAGAAAGAAAACTCAATTTTAGGGCAAAAGAGAACACACACACAAAAAAAAGAAAAAAAACTCAATTTTAGGGCAAAAGAGAATACAAATGGGTCTTTCCATGCCTCTAAAACATTCTGTATCTTTATATCATTTAGCATCTGTTCAGTTAATGGGAAGAATGGTAGGTCAGTGAGAATATAAAAGATGCACACACACACACACACACACACCAAAATGAAGTTCTAACTGTTTATCAAGATATAAAAGATTAATAAGATTTTATTAAGTGTTTGTGGTTTTTGGTAAGTTTCACATCTGACAGAAAAATAATATAATTAAACAATGAGAGAAATAGAATTTCTTTTCTATGGTAAAATTTTAGTATATAAAAGCATGCAAATATATTGTGAGCAATAATTTAAAATACAAGTAGATATGTATTTGATACAAAGTTAAATTATTTGACAGATGAAAAATTTTCCAGTGAAAGTTTAAGATTTTTAAAATTTGTTTCTAAAGATTGACTAAAACAAACCATTTAAATACTATTTTAAATGAAATATCAGTATTCCTAAAATCATGGTTTTTCTAACACATTACTTGGAAGCACAGACCTCGAATGACTGCTCCAGTGTGAAGTTAATGGTACAAAAGCAAGGTGTCATATCTGGAGATAAACATTTATTACAGGGACTGGAAGGCTCTGTTCCGGTATAATCAATCTGCAAGAGAAAAATAAGAATAGTTAAAAATAACTTACTTTCTTGGAGAAATGAAATACCTAAAATACTCTATTAAAAAGAAAAATGAGTCCAAAGGAGAAACGAGTAGCCCAGAGAACTGCTTATAAGGTCATCTGTCTATTATGATAGCATAAGCTGGTAAAAACAGAGTGTCAAATGGTCTAATTTCTAATTTCCAAGTAAACCTATTCTCTTTTTTTCTTAATTAAAAAAAATACACTTATGAATAAAAACATAAAGATAAAATTTAAGTTTGCATGCTGTTTAAAGATTTAAAAGCTGTAACAATATACAAGATCAATATAGAAATCAATAAATCAGTTATTGCTCTTAAATCTTCCAAATTTAAGTACTTTTCATTCACTTTAGCTTTCTATGGTGCATTTTCAAATTAAAAAATCATCTTTACAAGGGCTATCATGTTTTAAAAATCTGGCCAGCAGCTAAATTTTTTTTGTGTGTGTGATTTGGGTGAAAATTTTCAGAGCAAATTCACTTTCCATAGAGTAGTTCACATACACTTTTGTCTCATGACATTGACTCCAATTTACCAGAATGCAACAGCGCCCCTCCCACTTCCTCTAGATAGTTACCTCTTCCTTCTGTCCATCCCTCCAAGCACTCCTGCCCCCTGAGCTGTCTCTCTGTGCATAAACAGCCCTTCTTTCTCCCATGATCCAACAGCTAAATTTAAAGACTCTTTTCCCCCATGATAAAAAGATGTCACGATTAACAGCCCTACTATATTATCTTTACCTTAATAAAGTAAAAAAATTAATAACCAAATCTTTATTTCTGAAACTGAACATATCTATAAACTCATATGGATACTCAATTTTTTCTATAACTGGAATAAACGGTAGATTAAAATCTGTATCTAGAACATAGCATCTAATTATAACACCTAACAGTTTTTTTAAAAATCATATAATTGCTTAATAAAAGTTGGATTTGTCAAATCTTAACATAAACAAACTCCTGTAGAAAATTTCTCCATCTGATTGTCACCAAAATCTTATACTGTTACCTCCATTTTTTTTTAATTGTTTATCCTTCTAATGATCTTCTCTTTCTTGTTCAACATCATAAAATTTGGCTCTTATATAGGCTATTTTTCAAGAGTAGGTCCTGAGTACAACGTTGTGACCTAACATGTCAAGTGAAAATTTACAAATGCTTTGCCTCACTTCCTCTAGGAAGAGTTGTGTTTTTAGTTTATTTGCTTAGTTATGTGTTTAGCTTCTCTCAGATACTTGCAGTATCTAAGAGATCTGTAAACAAACTCTTGTAGAAAATTTCTCTATCAAAGCCTGTTTACTAGAAAAACTTTGTTTAGAAAAAAATTTCTTTCACTGCAAGTATCTAAGAGAAGCTAAACATATAACTAAGCCAATGAACTAAAAACACAAGTCTTCCAGGAGGAAGTGAGGCAAAGCATTTGTAAATTTTCACTTGACACGTTAGGCCACAAAGCTGTACTCAAGACCTACTCATGAAAAATAGCCTATTTAAGAGACAAATTTTATGATGTTGAACAAGAGAAGAGAAGATCAGATCATCAGAAGCATAAACAATTTAAAAAGCAAAACTCTGAACATTTTCTTTCTTTCTTAAGACTAATCTAAGGATTAAAAAAAAAAAAAAAAGGTAGTTAAGCCTGTTTCAACATTGTACACCCATGAACAGAAACCTCTCAAATTACTCTCTTTCAAATTACTTTCATGGACAAAGTCTGGAAGTGAAACTATAGGTTGTGATTAAGTAAGGATATATCCTCTTTGTTTAATTGTACAAAAATAATCTGGTGGAATCTGAACTCAAATAAATGAAACTGAAGGATGTATATTAAAACTGAACATTTTTATCAGAATCAAGAATTGCTAAATATTAAATTACAATTGAAGAACACATCAAAACATTTGCATCACAATCTGATTACAATTTTTAAAATATATTGAAAACAATATCTTTTGATTCAATGAAAATGTGAAAGGAATGTTAAAAAAATCATTAGCATATTAAAACTTACTACTTACTATGTACAAAGCATGATGTAAGATGCTAGTTAGATACACAAGCAAGCACTGTGTGGACTAGTCAATACAGTTAGTACAGCTCTTTGTATCATTTACATATAATTTTTTTTCCATCTGATGGTCACCAAAATCTTATAGTATTATCTCCATTTGATATAAAAAGGATACATTCAGAAACTTGTCAAAGGTTACACAGTAGCAATAGCTTGTGCCAGGCTGGAACCAAGGATTTTTTATTCCAAGCCTAACATTTCCTTATTAAACTGGCTTTCTCTAAGAATTAGAGTCAGTCCCCTTGACCCTCTACAAAACTACTTCATGAAATACACAAATGAATACAGAGAAAACTGCTATAAATATCAAATGTCAAAATGGAAGGTATAGAGACAATAAGTAGAGGGACCAGTACTTTCTTACTGAGAAAAAAAAAAAAAAAGAGGTTAAAACAAAGATGAAAAAAGAGAAGAGGGAGTGTATGAAGAAACAATTAAGGAGCTAAAAGCAGAAGGTATACTTAGTGACAATGAGCATAAACACTTTGAAAATGTGGAGAGTTTTCACATTGTAATAAACTCAGACAAGGCTGAAAAGGTAAACTGGTACCAAATGATACATTGTATTTTGTTAACTCACTGCCACCTAGTCCATTCTGACTTACAGCAACCCTTTAGGAGAAAGTATGACTGCTCCTTAAGGTTTCCAAGGCTGTAAATCTTTACGGAAGCAGACTCCCTCATCTTTCTCCCACAGAGCAGCTGGTGGGTCCAAACTGCAAACCTTTTGGTTAGCTGGTACATGCTATAACCACTATACATACCACAAGAGCACCTTTGTATTTTATTAGCTACTATTTATTGACGTATGCTAACTCCCAGGCATTATCACCTCATTTAAAACCTGTAAAGTAGGTTTTTATTTTTATTTTAAATGAGAAAACTGCCATTTAGGAAGATTTAGTAATTTTCTCAAGATCACCCAGCTAGTATTTCTGAGCAAGAATCTGAACCCAGCTCTGTCTCCAACACCTATTCTCTTTCCACCACATTCTGCCCTCTCATATAATGGACATATCACCCTTTCTGAAGTATAAACACAGGACCTTCAGATTATAATGAAGAATAACCTCTGGTGGGTAATTGTGATCTGTTTTTGTTGTTAAGTTGCCAAGCATCCAACCCTTCTTCCAAGTGTTATGGAATTGCCCAATATAAGAGTTCTGGGGAGAGGCAGGGGCTCTACCTCCCACTTCAGAAACCAAAGGGATAGGTGAGTCCTTCCTCTCACTAATCCCATGGCAGCCAATACAAAGGCACAAGTCCTAGATTCAACAATCAGATACATAAATTGCTGAATCTTGGGAGACAAAGTGTACGTACAAATTAAGTAGCAAATGTGGCAACTAGACCAAACTGATTTTGCTTCCAAACCTCCCTCAGTTCATACCTGTCTCCAACCATGATTTTCTAGTCTTTCTATCCATTCTGTATGAGAGCTACTCAGTACTTCTCTAATAAATTCCTCTCCTATGTGAGCTAGCCAGAGTTGGTTACTGCTGCTGACAGCAAAGTCCCTGAAAACTAAATGGCTCTCAATGATAAAATATCCTAAAGGAAACAGGGAACTAAAGAGATTTTTGAAGAGAGTAATATAATCAAATATTTGCATAAGAGCATATTAAAAGAGAGTTTAAGAAACATTATTTTCATTTCTTCTGGAATGTACCACAATGATGTAATCATTTATTCATATCTAATATCTAATAACTGAGTGTCTATGTACTCTAATGTAGACTGGGCCTAGTACTGTCTTCACTGAGTTCAGTGTCTAATACAAACAACAGTCATTAAGTTATAACAAATTAGAATGGATGTTTTCATAAAGTAAATACCAACCAAAACCTATTGCTATCAAGTAGATTCCAACTCACGCCAACCCGATGTGTGACATAGTAGAACTGCTCCATAGGATTTTCTTGGCTATAATCTTTATAAAAGTAGATCACCAGGCCTTCCTTCTGTGGTGCCACTGGGTGGGTTCAAACCATCAACCTTTAGATTAGCAGCTTATTGCAAACTACTTGCTCCACTCAGGGACTTTAAAGAATGTACTGGTATTGGTACTACAGGAACATATACCCTAGTCTTCTTGTTGTTGTTGTTATGTGCCGTTTCCTCCATGAGGGCTGATGAACAGGTGTTATGTCTCAGAAGGAGACAGTATGAAGAGGGACTACATTCCTGATAGATGGTTTATAGCACCTGAATAGATCCAAAAGATACATGAATTTAGGGCTTAAAATAAATCTTCCTCCAGATAAATCTGAATTAGAGATAAAGATCTGAGAGTCAATCAGAGTTTCTCCAATTAAGGTATCTAATTTTTCTACACTGTACATTTATAAAACAACTGGAAATTAGTGGAAGGAAAATTTAGATCTCAAAAAAAAAAAAAAAAAAAGAGGGAATAATTACAAAGTAGAAGCTAAGGGGATAGCTTTTGTCTTTGAGCCACTGTAAGTGTTCTTTGTATCCCAGGTGACAAAACATGGATAGAGCTAAGGAGAATGCCATCCCAGCATTCCAACAGAATTTCTAGTAATGGTGGCACTGAGAGCTTCAGACACTGGTATATGCTAGAGGTACAGCAGCAACAAAGAAGTATATTCAGGTGACATCAGGTATAACAAATACTAGTTGACTAGCTCTGGTGGCATAGTGCCTAAGGCATTTCACTGCTAACCAGAAGGCTGGTGGTTCAAACCCTCCAGCCACTCCATGGAAGGTAGACTGGGCAATCTAGTTCCATAGAAATACCACCTTGGAAACCCAAAGAAGGGTCGCTATGAGTCTAATCGACTCAATAGCAGTGAGTGTGTGTGAGAAGATACTTTAGTTTTATAACCCACATTAGTGTCACCGGTGTGACATCACATTGGCAAACTTC